CACACATCTTTGGTTACTCGGCAAAAATTATTGGAACTGGGTTGGGATGTTTTGTTTTGTTTTGTCACACCCACCATATAGCCCTGACCTTGCGCCTTCGGATTACCATTTGTTTCGTTCCATGCAAAACTCTTTAAATGGTCAAATTTTTAACAACGCGGATGATGTCGGATCACACCTTATTCAGTTTTTTAATAGCAAAGACCAGACATTTTACGAACGGGGAATTTTTACTCTGCCAGAACGATGGGAAAAGGTCATAGACAAGAACGGCCAATATCTAATTGAATAAAGTTATATTTTTAAACGAAAATTCTGAATTTGCCTTCTTATTTGAAATCGGCAATGGCTTAGTTGCCAACCTAATAATATTTATGCTCTCGAGCCAACGTATGATACTGATGAGATGTATGCATAAAAAAGCTTCTTTAAGCACTTGTGGGACTGAATATTATGCTATTTAGGATGGGCATCTGGTCACCCTAAAGGCATCCCAATTAACAGTCCGAAGTTCTAAGAAATTCCGCAAGACACTAATTGCGAAATATTCCCTAAATATAGAAAAAAAGTTTTTTGCAAAGCTTATCATATTTACATTTCTAATCAGGAGTGTGCGATAGACTTACCTCCACGTGGTGCACCCTGGGCAACGTATACTCATACGGCAAAAAGTCTATTAGCCGGAAGTTCGCTTCTCACTTCTAAATACCATCACATCACTCTATATCATATTCGACTACTTCCACAGTACTCACCTCACCTTTTTTCTACCTTCGTCTTTGAAACACTCTTCTGTCCCGCCCCCCAGTCTCGACTTTTTTTCACTTTGATGTAACTTCCCCTCTGTGAAGCCTGAAGTCAACTAAAGGGCTACTGATAGCCATCAAAACGCCTGCCATTTGAAATAAATAACTAAATAAATTTCTTATCAACTGAATATTTCATGTTGGTATAATCTCTCATCTTTCACCAGAGATTGCAACTAAAGTATTTATTAATTTTTTTCAACAGATTCCAAGCATTCTAATGAGTGTTGTAAGTGTATTTATGACCAACTAACACAAGTTAACTTCGTGAACAATTCTAGGACCCCACCCTCTCCATATAATAAAGCGAGTGCTGAAGACAGTTTTAAGGTCTGAGCAAGAATCTAAGACCATTAGCCTTTCAACTGCAGACTCAAGTGATTTATGCCATCCAGGAAATCATCTAACATCGTATTGGAATTTTGAATTTGTGCTATGAGAGGACTAGTATCTATCATTCTGTCAAAATCGGGGACATCGACTGATCATTTTAAGTAACACGTCTTTTAAAAGGGTTCAAATAGCAGCCCAAGCTATTAGTACTGGCGTTACCTTCTACATTCTGCTAGTCTTCCTTAAATTGACGGAATTGGGAAAAGAAATTACGATGGTGGTCAGGATTTAAAAGCTGAAGACCAGGTTCAAGTAAACGAAGAAAGTGTGTCACTAGATGCGGCTGAAGGCGGTTTCGGTGTGCACTACAAAGTCCAGGTCAAGACTAACTAAGGCAATGGGCACACAGATCTTGGAGATAAAAAACGGAGCATATTGCCCACTGAAGCAACTTATTTCTTCATTATTTTTTAACCAGGTTTTTATTAGTAGCCTATGGTCTGACCACGTTTGAAGAATTACGATGGATAGAATTAAATATATATAAATTTTAACATTGCTCAAATCTCGTGGAATGTTGCCTCCGATAATGTTTGCCTCAGGGAGTTTGGAATTCATTCTTGAAATCCCTTCCAAATCAGTACCCAGGGGAGAGATAAGCAGTATGAAGTTAGATCGGCATTCATAGGTAGGTAGGTAAATAGTTTGTATGCCAGAATTTTCGTCAAGCTGAAATCTCTGGTAGGATAGTGCAAAAAGACCTTCGTACATTTAGATCACGCGATCCAGATGCAAGAAATGAAAAATCCCCTTGATTAATACGTCAATTTGCACGATAACTAAAACTTGTTTATTATATAGAGCGCGTCAACATACCAGACTCTCATCAAGGTGGTTTTACCAAGATGAGGGTTAAAAAATGCTTTTTAAAATAAAGTATATTTAAGGTAAAAGGATTTTTTATTTTTAATTAAAATTAAGGAGTAATTTGTCTAACCAATTTTAATCCAGGAACAGAGACAGAAAATCAATAATTCGTCGTCAATTATAAAAGTAGTGGAGATTGTAAATTTCCATCAGGTCTATCGAAATTACAAGAACATTACATTAAGTACATCTACAACCTACTCCCATACTTTTGAGCCTACTTATTTTGTAATTAAGGGGTGTACGATAGACTTACCACCACGTGGTGCACCCTGGGCAACGTATATTCATACGGTAAAAAGTCTATAAATCAGCAGCTGACTTCTAACTTCAAACTACTATGACCCCAAGTCTATTAATCGGCAGTTGACTTCTGACTTCAATTACCATGATCTATTAACTGGCAGTTGACTTCTCTATGTCATATTCGGTCTATAAATCAGCAGCTGACTTCTAACTTCAAACTACTATGACCCCGCTGTATGTCATATTCTTCCACTTTCACAATACTCACCTTACCTTTTCACGACCTTTGTGCCTGTCTATCTCTTTTGCATCCTTGAATCACTTTTCTGTTAGCCCTCTCGAATTTTTCTCACTTTGATGTTTCTCCCCTCTGTGAAGTCCGAAGTTAGCTAAAGGGCTAATGATAACTATCATAAAGCCTGTCATTTGAAATAAATAAATGCATTTTGTAATTAATGGTTAATAATCTCACCTCCACTTCATCACCAATTTTAAAGATTGGATATTGCCGAAATTTTAATTAAATAACTCGTCAGAATATTTGTATAAATGGTGAGTATTTTTCACTCCACATCACCCTTGAGAGACCACCAACGAGCATAATTTAAATTTTGAAATACCATTTAACAAAATTTATCCCATAACCTAGAGCTAAAATATTAAATTCCCATAAATTATTCGAAAATTTAAAAATGGGACAAAAAAATAGAAAAAACCAAGGAAAATAACTTAAAAGTGGGTGAAATAGAGTCTTGTTATAAATTCAACAATTCCTAATTCCGGGGCAGAAAATCTTTGAAAATCGGGATCTTTTCGAGAAATCGTCGGTATGCACGAATGCATCTGTATTTCCTTATGCTTCTGAGAGCTAGATGTAATTATATTTCATTCCAGGTGAAAGTCATTAGAATTTGTGTCTTTCGTTAAAAGGAGATATTCTAGTATGCGATATCTTTATCATTCCAGAGAAATCATTCCAGAAATTTTCGATGTACTTAGCACTAGTAAGTGAGTTAATATCTTTTATTTTAGTACCGAGATAGGTAAGCAAAAATTCGCATAAATAAGTAGGTGAGTAAAATAATTTCAATCAGCAGTAGTAGTAAAAGTAGAGATGACTAAATTGGATTGGTGCTCAATGTCAGTGAACTCCATTTTCAGTGGTTACCACACGCCTAATTGATTGTGTAATACTCAATTTCAAATTAAACAAAAAATGTGAAAGAAATCACAGATTAAGTTAAACTGATTAGAATAATCAAAGTTAATTTATTTAATTTATCCTTTTTTCGAACTGTAGATTTCTAAAATTTTAATCTAAATAATTTTAAGAATAAATCGGTTTACTTTTATTCCAAAATATAAAAAATGTTCCCCCTTTCGTGAAGTAACACTTGCACTAGATTGATGCAAGATCATAAAATGACGTAGTTTACAATTTTAAGTTACACTCTTAAGGGTACCTTTAGTATTTATACCCAGATTTACCTCCATGTGGTGCATCCTGGGCAACGTATACTCATACGGCAAAAAAGTCTATTAGCTGGCAGTTGACTTCTCATTTCAAACTACCATCACCCCACTCTATCTCATATTCCACTACTCCCATAGTAATCACCTCACCTTTTTTGTACCTTTGTGTCTGTTTCTTTTACATCTTTGAAACACTCTACCTTTGTGTCTGTCTCTTTTACATCTTTGAAACACTCTTCAAACTTTGTGTCTGTCTCTTTTACATCTTTGAAACACTCTTTTGTTCCCCCCCCCTCCCCCTCTCGACTTTTTTCACTTTGATGTTTTCCACCTTTGTGTCTGTTTCTTTTACATCTTTGAAACACTCTTCTCTTCCCTCTCCCCTCTCGACTTTTTCCCCCTTCGATGTTCCTTCCCCTCTGTGAAGCTTGAAGTCAACTAGGGAGCTGATGATACCTATCAAAACGCCTTCCATTTGATATAAATAAATACCCAGATATCCATACCCTTTTCGATAAAACAGAACTGGGAATTACCAAAGTACATTGTTTCATTAAAGGCATTAGAGAACGCAATCTTAACACGATTAAACTAGGCAATCTCATACGCACTCGAACATTCTGGAGAGTGTGGGAGAGCGTGGTGAGGCCTTATCAGGTAACCAGCCATTTATATTCATTCAAGTTAGGCTAAGTTTATTCTAACGCGAAAGGGCTTTGTTGGAAGAATAATTTTAGTAAAGCTTATACATTTTAAACGTCTGTTTCATTTTTATCTTTGAGGTAGTTTAACTAATTTCGAGAGCCACTTTGTACTAGGCCACTGTACCACAGAGATAACTGAGGATAAGTCAAACTTTCTTCTTGTAGCAATCATCCACAAGCTCTTATCTTTAATTTACACGTTTATTTGCCATACATCTAGGCTTGATCTAGATGCACACAGACGATAATTACCCAGGATCAAGAGAAAACTTGTATTTATTCCAGTATTTCATGGTAATCTAGGGGGAAAAGAGAGCACACTTAAGGCAGATCCTGATGGTATTTGTTTTGTTCACGTTTCTTCTGTCCTCCCGTTTCGTTTTTCCAAATTACATGCGAATAAGAGGATTGAAGAGAAGATGGGGAAGCTGAGAAGATCAATTGGAACAGGGATCAAGAGATAGTGGGAATCGAAAAATCTACACACTCGATAGTAAAGCGACGTTTATTTTTAAATGGAAGTAACTTGTTGATAGGGTTTTGCCGATTTCTTGGGTCTTTGAACGGAGGTATTTCGCGAACTTAAGGGGTGATTTTCAGCAAGTGGTTTCACCATCTGCTCTCCTCCACCGGAATAATTTTCTGGACATCGACAGACCACACCAGAGGAAGCGGATACTTCAGTTTCTCTCCTTTCAGATTCCGAGGTGGTATTTGTTTCTTCTCCACGTAGAGGGGGATTTAAAGATTGAAGAGTCTTATTGCTTTCGCTAAAAGTTGATCGAGAGATCTTTCGTTGACTCGTAGATGCGGAGGAGATAGGAATTATTCTTGGTCGCATACAGTGTGATCGAGGTGTGGATCGTCTTGGAGATTGATCGTAGTAAAGTTTATCGGAGAGTTTTTCATCGCTTCCTGAATATGAGGAGCAGGAAACAGATATTGATGGTGTCATTGAATCACTATTAGTAGATGAACTGTCAGAAATCGGCATTTGATGAAGAAGACTAGAAGACCGCCTACTCATTAGGTTGCCATTATTTCGTTGATGTTGTTGTCTCATTTTTGCCATTTCTTCACACTCACGACAGGAGTAGTACAGAAGTTGTTTAGAACCTCTGGCTGATTTATGACAAGGCATTAAATCAGGGATTTCTTCCTCTGCTCTTATATTGACAGCCGATCTTGCATTACCTCGCCTTAAACGTCCAACGGCAGCATTTTGAATACTATTCAAGGACCCATTCATTTGATCAACAATTCGCCGTTGCTTAACAGGCGCCCACCGAACTGGTTCATCTGTGTCAATATTACTCAAATCTTGATCTAACGATTCCATGCTATGGGTGCTAATTTTTGAAACGGGGATTTTTGTCCCGCTAATAGGGGATCGGCGATAAGGAATTACCTTAACGCGTAGCGCATTATTGGCATGATTGGCTACAGGAATATGATTGGTTTTTGCGGGTTGAGATCGACGATTGAGAGTAAGGTAGGACATATTATCACCGGATTTGTTGGGTTTGTCAAGGCAGTTTTCGGTGAGGGAGATTTGAGCAACTGAGGTTGTAGCGGTGGGAATTCTAGAAGAGGAGAGAATATCTATGGAAACACTATTCATGGCTGAGTAGCAGGATTTGCTCTTGTGTTGATTTTGCAAATGTCGCAATTCAGCAAGTAGAAGGTGAACAACAAAGACACCGGAGAATTCACTGAGCACGAAAGCACCGATACAAAGTCGGAAAGCCGTTCCGAATGAGTAGTAGTAACGGATCTCTACCCTCAGTGGACCGGAGGTGGAATCGAAGGCTAAACTTACACTTCCTACGTAGAGCACAATTCCAATTAGTGTTAGGATCCCTAAAAATGAAATTTAATTATGTATCAATAAATCGTAGCCAGACGATAGATAAACCTTCATTTTGGTATTTTAAATAGCAGATTGTAATTAATCGTGTAAAAATATGCCGTTTTTCATTTTTTGCAATTTCATTCTGGTGCTGACACATTCCTTTGCTCAAAAACTCCCTTGATAAATTATGGCTAAAATTGATTGCAAATTTATTGAAAATGTGTTTCCACACTTATCAGGATAGTTGGCCTTGAAATGTCGCATGAATGGCAAATTTCCAGTTGAAACAGTCTAATTTGGAGCATTATAAAGTAAATTTTCACGAAATCCATTTAAATTACATCTCATTTTTTGGCAAAAATATACTCGAACATTATTTAAACTTAAAGTGCAGTACCTATTACCGAAGTTCTTGCAATTTATGATGAAATAGGCAATATAAAAGGCGCTCCAAGTTAGGCTTGAACATTAGGTTTTATTTTCATTACTGTGAGTTGCACATTGGCCGAAAACGGGATGAAAAAAAATCGATGCCATTCCTGATGTCCATAAAATGTTATCGCTTATCCGGCGCTTTTTGTGTTTCTCCAGGGAATAGCCTTATTGCAGCTGATAGTCCTTAGCGAATTAGCCGAATTAGAAGAGAGGAAAATCGATTTCTATTAAGTAGTATTTCCCTGCTTCGCAATTTCAAAGGTCAGAGGGAAAGTGTGTGGAGGACGAGGGAGGGTGGGGGGGGGGGGGGGGGTTGAGAGAGCGAGAAGAAAGTGAAAACTTGCAAGGGTTCTAGAGTCACGCAAGCTCCAAACTGAAATGGCGCTTTCAAAAATTGCATTCCATTTAAATTCCCTTTTAAATTGCCGTTTCTATTTTTTGGGGTGTTATTTTACAATTAATTTGAAGCCGAAGTTTTGTCATCTGAGTAATAGCAGTAAACTTTTTTTAAAGTGGGAGGGGGGGGGGAGGAGGAAGGGGATGAGGACGGAATTAAGACAACGAAAGGAAATTTCACCTGATATTTCGTCATTTTCAGTAGCTCTGACTTACTAAAAGGAAACATCTTAATACGAATGTAAGCTACCCATTAAAATTAGGTAAACCTCCCAAAACTCTGAACTCTAGATTGAGCAAGAAATGACCACTTTAAGTGATTTACTATCTTTTCACTAAGCGGCATTCAGTATTACCGAGCTTTCATCGCCTCGGAAGTATAATTGAAAGCTAAATAAATAAGAAACAATTAATAAAGACATGGATTATGATTCATTTGGTTTACTTTCAATCACAGCTGGGTACCGTAATATCGATCAGTAGAACATGATGAAAAATATATACTAACAAAGATACGTCGAGAGTATATTGTTAAACCTAAACTCGAAATACAAATGTAAACACTTCTTAAGAATTGTTTACTGGTTGAACATGTCTATCAGCTGAGTTTAATTTTTAGACTGACTGCTTATCACTTCACGATGTCCTTTACCGGCATTTATTGATAAAAAATCAAGCATCTATATACACTCAGTCAGGTATTAGAGATATTGCCACCAGTTGCAACTCCTTAATCACATTAACTAACATCCTAAACACATGGTGGAATTAAAAGCTAATCTCAACCATTTCAAAGATTGATTTCGACAAGTCGATACCTATAACTAACCACAAGAAAATTTAATCCACCCCCCCCCCCCAACCCCCAGATGGAATCACTCTCTGGTTCCTTCGGTCAGCGCATATAACAAAGCACTCCGAACAGTTTTTTTTCTAACTCTAAAATTGAATCCAATTGTTGGCTTTAGGTGCTCTTTCTCCAAATTCGCTCCGATTTATCGCAAAAGTGACATTTATACTTTTAATCATTTGTCTTTGCAATTTTCGAAACTCGGAATCTCGTGATCAGAATCATAGGCTGATGTGAAAAAATTATGTCAGTGAATTTCCCTCGAAAGAGTTGAATTATCATTATTAGCAACCATAAGGAAATAATGAAAATTAAAACTATATACTATAAAGACCTTTTTCCAAAGTACAAAGTCATTAAAGCCTCCAAATTGTCTTTTTCATAAATACTATTTAATGTTTCAAAGTTGGGGTGTGCGATAGACCAACCGCCACATGGTGCACCAAGGGCAACGTATGTTCATACGGCCAAAAAGTCTATTAACCGGCAGTTGACTTCTGACTTCAAACTGCCATCACCCCACTGTATGTCATATTCGACCACTCTCACAGTACTCACCTCACCTTTTTTCTACCTTTTCTACCTTCGTCTTTGAAACACACTTCTGTTTCAACTAAAGGGCTATTGATAACTATCAAAACGCCTGCCATTTGATATAAACAAATAAATGTTTCGAATTTCACCCGAAATCACCGCATTGACATGATATAGTATTACGAAAAGGCATTGAGTACAATTTAGAATTGCGGTTTTGAAAGTAAATTTCGAGAAATCTAATTTTTAACTTTTTTTCAAGTGTCCGCCTCATAAAAATGAAAGTTTGGGTCAATGTTGTAACAAAAATTAAGCTCTTAGATAAATAATTACCTTTCAAATATACACACACATATATATATATATATTCAAAGCGTAGAAATAAATTAAAGCAATTTAATAAAAGTAGAAGAATGTGTCAAAATAAATAAATAAATTTTGAATAGGACCTCAAATTAATCATAAATAAGGATCAAAATTTTTATTTAATTAAAAAAGTTAATCCACTTTTGGAGAAGGAAAATTACCAAGGGTGTTAACAAAGGGGTCCTAAGTACGTATTTTGTTTAACTGCGCAGAAAAATTCAAATTGAACTTAAACATAATAAACACTCCTGACTTATGCTCTTCGAAGGTTCAGACAATTATTCAAAATCTCCGGAAATGTCACATTCTGTCACAAATAGAAAGTTTTTCCAAACTTAATATTACTTCAGTATATTCAGAAACATAATTTGTTGACGGAAGGCAATGACAAAAAATTCAGCCGCATGGATTTTTGAATAAGCCGATATCTTCTCAAGATTCTGCGCACTTCAACACAAACAGTTTCAAATTTCCAAAAATTCACCCTGTCAATGATTATCACCCTCCATAGTCAACTAATTCTGCATTTTATTTCGTTGTAACATGTGAACTCAGGGTGTATTAATACATTTTTCAATCAATATGCCTCTAAGACACAGTCCTTTTCATTATTAAATATAAGCCTAATCAAACCGTTGACCACATCGGAACTATCTTCTTATTGGATCGGGAAGTGGATTCTGACATCTTGGATTAACCGAGAGCATACAAAAAAAGCAAAATGTAAAATGCTGAGGTGGAAAAGGCTAATTTGTAAGATTCAATGGAACACAGAAAATATTGCGAAAGGGGGGGGGGTGCGCGATAGAATTACCTCTAAGTGGTGCACCCTGGGCAACGTATACTCATACGTTAAAAAGTCTGTTAACCGCCAGTTGACTTCTCACTTTAAACTACCATCACCTCACTGTACGTCATATTCGACTACTTCCACAGTAATCACTCACCTTTTTCTACCTTTTTTACCTCCTTCTTTGAAACACTCTTCTGTTTCCCTCCCCCCCCCCGCTATCGACTTTTTTTCACTTTGATGTTCCATACCCTCTGTGAAGCCTTAGGTCAACTAAAGGGATAGTGATAACTATCATAATGCCTGCCATTTGATATAAATTAAATATTACGAAAGGACCAAATATAAACCGTTAGCGGCCAGAGTAACGCTTGCGATTTAAGACACCGTAGATACCTCCTGAGGAGATATTTATACGCAAGCGAATTGCTTCTCGTAAAGGATGTGGCTAAATTTTGCGTTTATGCTAAACGCCGACATTTCTTTGGTCGGAAATCACGAAAAATCCTGAGAATAACCTCAATCATTTCTAGTTATTGTAAGAGACCCACGTACAAACTTTTATACCAATAGCCAAATTTTGTATAGGGAACCTCAAAACCCCCACCCTCACCCTCACCCCCACCCCCACCACCCTCTCTCCCCCAAAGAGAGAGAGCGTAATCCAAAAAAGTGAGTTATTTCACAATATTTTAAAGAACTGCAGATTCTCGTTTTCATGAGAGGGTATATTAACCGTTTACTGTTCAGTACTATTCGACATTTACGTCCATTCTAATTTTTCCTATCGAAAAAAAATACTTTGTGGAAAAATTCAACATGATTTTTTATGTCTCATGAGTTGTTTGATAAATTCATAAAAATGAGCGACTGCCTCTAAACTTTTGTAAACCGTCATTTCAATCATGCAGCGCAAATGGTTCTAGTTTCAAAACACCAAATGCCAATCAAAATAGAACTCAAAATAGCAATAAATTGTTGCAAACATCAGTAATTTTGCACCATTTAAGGTACCTTTAAAATACACACAGAAAGAGAATTTTGAAATGAATACCAACTTTTATCATTTTATTCCAACTTAATGTCCGAATAAAAGTTGGGATAATTCGTTTTGAGAGCATTAAAGTCTTAATATAAAAGGAAGATAACTCTCTCCCTCCTCTCTCTTAGGTAAAATAAAACCTTTACGAAAACAAAGAGAAACAATATCATTAAAATTCGTATGATATTAGTTGGTTTATGATCATGCAAGTATGAAGTAATAAGCAGATTAATTGGAAGTTGATAAAGTACCGTTCTCTTGATGATCTAACGTTACTAACAACCGAACTCTCTCTCCGAACTTTTATCCTATCGTGGTTCCGAATCGCGACTGCTGTAATGGTTGGAAATTGAAGTTCACTTTACTCGAATTCTAATGTGTTCTGCTGTGCTCATAGCACCTTCATTATCCTCATCTACCTTTTCATGAAGATTTCAGGACATATATGAGCCAAAATCGGTTAACACACTCCGAGTACCTGTGCATCCCATCGATGCGAAAATCATGGATCAGATCATGCAAGTCGTTTTTTTGTAACATTTGAATATTATAAATCAATAATTCAGTGCTCCAGAAAAATTATTAATTAATTAAAACTTATATTTGATATCTCGGGTGCGCGATAGACTTAGCTCCACTTGGTGCACCCTGGGCAACGTATACTCATACGACAAAAATGTCTATAAACCGGTAGTTGATATCTGACTTCAAACTACCATCACCCCACTGTATGTCATATTCGACTACTTCCACAGTACTCACCTCACCTTTTTTCTCCCTTTGTGTCTGTCTCTTTTACATCTTTGAATTTCACTTCTGTTCCCCCCCC